TCACCTTCCACTGACCGGGGCTGGTCACGTGGGTGATAACATTCCAGCCCCTGGACCCTCCAGGGGAAGAATTACCATCACCCGAGGGCGCCCCTGTATTTTTCCTTTGGTTCCGAATCTCCCCCTTTTACTGCGGTTTCAGCTAAAGAACTTGGGGCAATCACAGTGATTAGTGAGTAAATATATCGGGAGCAAAAATTTCAGCAATAAAAACCCAAAAAATCCCAAAGGTAGCAATTTTCACAATTTAATTGGAAAGATAACCAAATAAATGGTCTTTCAAACAGACAAAAATTACATAATACCTGGTCCTTTCCACGTGTTGCAACCGAAAAAGCCCTCTAAGATCTTTTCTAGACCTAAGAACACGCAGTCAACTGTGCCCATGACACCACTGCCTACCGACACCTGCCGCTTCCTCCATCCGTCACCACAGGCTTGGCCGTCTTCCCTGCCGCACACTTAAAACTGCATTTGATTAACCAACTCCTGTCCCAACCCTCTGCTTCCTCAGAACCCCGCTGAGGCTGGACCATGGCACCTGGTGACAGACGGGAAGTGAGTCAAGGGCTCGGGTGTACCCTCGCTGCTCTGAAGCGGCACCCCCATGGTCCACTGCCGTGGCAGGGAACTCACAACATGCCGACACGGAATCGTGCACACGTGCATCCCCACCCCTCCAGCTTGGTAACGAACCACCCTCAAGATGGGGCGCAATGGAAAAGAGCTGTTTTCAGGGAAAGCGGCTGTGTGTGGGGACCTGTGGGATTCCAGGTATCTGTGTGTTTAAACCATAGGGTTTTCACTGGAGAAGTCTTGTCTTTGAGGAAGATTTAAGGTAAGAAATTGGGAAAAACAATGACAAATACCTTGGGCTCTCCGAGTCAAGGTGAACGGCATCCCACACACTCATGATGCGAGAACATCCGGGCTCTTTACCACTTCTCACTGCGGGTGGCTGAAACCTGGGACCTCGGCGGTGTGTAACGCCAGACAGACAGACAGACACACATAAGCCAACGGACCACTTACCTTACGAAATGTCTAGTGCTTTAAATACAGGAACATGTGAAAAATACCAGGCCAGGGTGAAGGCCCCGGTGACATCCACAGATGACTCTCAGTGGATGCACTGACAGGGAAGATAAAGAATAAAACCATTTGCTCAGGGCTTTTCCTGTTCTTTGTACTAAAAATCACTGGAAGTACATTTTTATCCTAGGAAACAAGTCTAGGGCAAAAGAGCCATGGTTAAGAAGCTGAGAACTTCTGCCCAACTCTCCCTGACCCCAAAGGCTTCCTTCCTTTCCAGTAGTGGGTCCCCAGCCACCCTAAGTAGGATGCTAGAAATCTGAACACGGTCTGAGCATGCCAAAGTCGGTTTCCCTCCCAACCTTAACCTTAAGTTTCAATTTTTTTTTTTCATTTATGGCACTAAGACCAAGTTCTGTATCTGGAATGAACCATCTGCTCTGTTAGATATGGTCACCACTACAAAAATGGACATGAAAGTATGTACCGAACTTGCATTCTGAAAGCTAACGAAGGTAGGCCGAAAAGGAACTGGAATGCCAGCCTAGAAGAAATTTAGCCTTTGCTATCTCGTCCGTGTATTTCGTTATTGTATTTCCTTATGATAAGACTTAGGCACAGTGACAAACACGACGGTCATTTTTGTGGACCTTAAAGAAATACTGCAGCCTTAATGATGTTTTTTTTTTTACACGTAGCTCTAATATTCATTAAATAAAAGTAAGCCCAGGCTTTGGAGTCCAGTATCAGACAAAATGTGCCACTCACCTACATAAAATGCTCAGACCCTAAGAAAAAAAACGAAAGGAAGTTTTCCTTTCTCACATGTGGAACTGTTAACTTTATGGAGCCAACCTGAACTCTACAGAATCCCACTCAATTCTTTTTAAGTCTTTTGACTCCTGAAAGCCACCTTAATATATACATATGCAAGTTAATTTATAAGAAGAAAAGTTTGAAAACTTCCAACTTCAGCAGTTAACCCACGGCAGCAGAACGCTCCGCTTTGCACAAGCCCCTGCGGTGCCCAGACGAGGACCTGGGGAAGGAAGAACGTGTCACTCCCGTTCCCTGCTGCATCCGAGCAGGTCGAACGAAGCCTGTTAGAGAAAATCAACTCGCACGTCTGCTTTAAACATTACAAACCATTAGCAGTTTGAATCAGAGAAACTGAATATAGTGACCGCTCATGTAACGGCTCAATTGTAAAAATCCAAGTGATCCGTTAAACCTCCGATTTCCACTTCCCAAGATTTTCGAAGCCCACATCGAAGTAACTACCATTTCTCTTTTCACACACTTGACTAATCTTACACTCAGCAGACCTACCAGACCATCACCTGGACCAGGTTGATTGCATAGGAAGATTTTTACTATGTTTACATTTTTCTTAAATTAATTTTAAAAAAGTATAGTAAAGAGTCTGAGGACAAATTATTCAACTGTTTATCATACATAAGACCGCATGACTATAATACAAAGGGGGTTCTTTTCATTTAACGTTACAATATACACAGCAAGTCCGGACCAGATCTTACAATCTGCACACAGGTATTTAACCTTTTCCATGCTGTTTATGTTTACAATGCACAGAAGTCCTGTAACCAAACCGTGTAGTAAAGCACACAAAACTGGACTGTAACATAACACAGTATGCAGAAGCATTGGATTTTATGATTTCCTTTATGTAAATAGCGGTTTAAAAACTGCTTTTGTTTTTTGGTGCTTTTTAAGATGTGGCAACCAGCACAGAAAAAAATGACCTGACCCATATGATATCGTTATCTTATATTCTAAACAGCAGTAAGTACTGAATTCCTTCTGATATTGCTATACTCAAGATGATATCCTTTTATTCACTGTAAACCTTTATGAACTACCAAGTTCCAAAAATCATCCACAGGCTTGACATTTAATTACAAAATAAATATGGATTTCCTGATTAACAACAAAAAAATTTCTGTGGTTTATAAAAACGGGTATTTCCAAGTTTCCATTCACATTCACATACTTGTAAGCCTCTCTTTTGTCACTGTTTACATATAAAAACCTGCTTTTGTTCAGAAAAAAAATGACCTAGTCAGCCACATGGAATCGACCAATCAGGAGCCAAGTGGAGTCTGCTGAGTTGTTCTGACAGGGCTGCGGCAGAGGTAGATCACTGCTTCTTGTCTAGGCTTCTTTTGATCCTGGACAGGTACATTACTCATCTTCACTCTCCCAATTCAACCGCTCAAAAGTATGACACCCTAAAATTGGTCAATTTAAAATGGGAACACAAATTTAGCAACTGCCAGACTGTGTTACATTAAGGCAGCATAATCTCAAAAACGAGGCACCTGTTAAACACCAGCCTGTTCGCTTCGGGTCATGCATGAGAGTTCTGCTTTACTCGTGCTCAGATTTGGACCTGTTGGTGCAACCAAGGTCTTGCTTTCAAGTTTACAAGTAGGTTAATCAGGAATACAAGAATCGACTGCTGGTTCCATAGCTTCTGGATCCAGTGTCCCTTTACCTTCAGAAGCCTGAACACATTTAGAATGTGACAGATGCTGTAATCTGGAATTAGATGTCAATCTATTATGTTCAGTACAGAGATTGCTGTAAATGTATTGGCTATGGATTCAACAACAGTTCCAGTTTTGTTTAAGCAATAGTACAGCCATAATTTTCAACTGACATTTAAAAATGGTCTAGTTACACCTTGTGTCAAAGTGCAGAACTGCTACATTATTGGTTACAGACATCTATGTGCTATAAAAACAGCTTTGGTACAATAAATTATCAAAAAAGAAAATAAATTTTTGTAAAATTCACAGCATAATTGTGAGGCAAAAAAGCAGTCACATAAAATTCTGCATTTTTTAAAAATGTTCAGGATGAACAGAAGACATCTTTGTGCAGAAGAAATGGTGGAGATACCACGTGCCGAGAAAAAGCAAAAGAAAAAGTAAAAAGCAGGAAGGGACACAGCTGTAGCTATTTCCATCAAAGCAAACCACTACTTCTGTGACCTTCAACCAATAAGGAAGTCAACTTTATGACACACGCAAAGTGACCTTGCAATACCTTACAATTAGTGGGTCACAAAAGTCTATTTTAAAAGAAAGGCCTCTTGAATTACCCATTCTCTGTGTGTTCAGCATTAAGGACTGTCTGCAAAAGCATGTCCGAAAGTGATTGCATCTGAAATGGTAGGCTCTTCTAATTTCGAGTCCAAATCCATAAGGCCAAAGGTTATCCCAAAGACCACCACTCAGACCTCCCCAGGACTGGCCACGACTGACCCGTTGATTGCTTCTCAGTGCACCTTGGTTGGGAGACCAGTCACGTTCCTTTACTACCTTCCCGTGGCCTCGCCAACAGGAGACCCACAGGGTCCCACGTAATTGCTGCTTTGCTCCTCAGTAGGTTCAGACAGGAGAGTTCTGATCCCCGCCACTCAGCATGCTTACTGTGCCTTACAAACGCCAATACAACCGTCCCTTCCATACAGCTGAAGGTGATGTTTGTGTGAGCTGGAGGTCCCTCTTCCTTACAGTACTGCATTTCCGTGTGTGTTTAGAGGACTTAAAATCCCACGTTCCCCACCCCCCACCCAAAACAAAACAAAAACAAAAAAAGAAAAAAAGGAAAAAACAAAAAGGAAAAAAACACCCTCATGGGGCCCTTTATGCAAATTATGTGCAGTGCCTTTTTATTTTAAAATTAGTTGGCAAATGACCAAGACCAACATCTGAACATTAACTTTTGTTGAATAGAAAGACAAAAACCCCACTATGACCGGGATGTGGCAAGTTAAAATGGGGGAGGCAATAAGAGGACACCTCTGAGCTATCCGTGAAGATGGGTTTGGACATGGCTCTTTTAAAAACTTCATTGTCCCTTTGCAATCTTTTCAAGTTAAAAAAA